GTTCAAANACCGATTGTGTGTAATGATTTGTACATTCTAGATACAGTATGCTGCTGTTATCTAAGGGCAACTTTCTTGATTTTTCACCAACATTTAGCTTCGGCGTGCTGCTGTGGGAGAATCGTCAAAAGAAACCACCATTTCCATGTAAGTACACAACACAAATTCCCCCATCTATGCTTTATAGTTTTTTTATCAGAACGAACTTGTTCAAGTCAACAAGCTAGACAATGCCCTGTTTCTATGAAATCCATTTTTAAATTAGTTATCCCATTAAAAAGGTTAACTATCCATTTTGAATATCCTGTTCTTTTGACTTAAACAGATAGACAAAAATTATCATCATCCTATACTTGGAGTGGGAGAGGACCTAGTTTACATTTGATCCGGATTATTTCTGTGCATATGTTTATTCATCTGCATACAAAGCGGCATTGTAGGCACAGTAAGCAAGTTGTTATCAAGAATATTATGCAACGTTTTTCCATTTTCCCATCCATGCCCAGATGCTGCGCACGACTCGCCTGCCATGCCGACCGACCAGCGGGCAGACCCGGGGTCGGTCCCGTCTGACCCATCGGACCTGGAGACGGTCAACCAGCTCATCCAGTCATGCTGCAGCCACAACCCGGACGACAGGCTGGATTTCAAAGGTGGGAAATGTTGTAGACCATCTAATATCTGTTTCTAAGATGTGTTTCTTTGAGAAAGTAACTTTAGAAAAATGAAAGAAGGTGCACTGCGAACAAACAAGTCACTTGAAATCAGTAGGCAAATGTATGGCAGAGGCTATTACATGACAATTATACAGTCTGCCAGTCTAATAGAGACTACGACATTAAACTGCGGACAATAACGGATTGTTATCCGGAATGTATTATGTATAGCACTTTGGCAGAACGTCTCCTTCGCGCATTTAAGGATGACATCCCGCCTATATATAGTTTTCAAATGTTGTGTCTGTAAAGATATCATCTGCAACGGTAAAAATTCTGATTCAACGATGACCAAACATCCAACGAAAAGCGTGAAAAAGATGGGATCGTATGAGTGCAGTACGATCTGCCGACACCCTGTATGTAATTTCTGTCCATATCTCCAGAGTGTGGAGATCGACTCAGTGACGTAACCGGTCGGTACGAGTTGGTCCACTTCCTGAAGGCCGTCATCTACTTGCAGAAGGAAATGGTAAATTACGTTTTGTACATGTTTAAAACTTTTGGTCCAACACAAAAAATTCTCTCACCTAGAGCTTTCGACCAGTCACTCTGGTCTTCCTCAGTAGGCTGACCCAGTGAAGCTTGTCATGTGGCTTCTTTGAAATGTGACGTGAACACTGGGTTAAAGGTATCTGGTACATGTTGGCCCCCATCGCGGTTCAATGGACCAAACGTCTTGCAAAGTGTTATTTCTTTTGACAAGATATTTATACCGAAACACACAACAAAAGTTCAGCTGCTCCGAGGAGCTTTTTTTTTCTAGATCCAAAATATGTATATATTGAAAATGAATCCACATTACTTACTCTACAACAGTATGATGATAAGTTTTAGTAAGGCTGGGTTTTTATGATTCTTACGAAATTGTTCCATTTTGTTACAGGCTCGTAGAAAGTGACTCCCCAGTATATGGGTAGCTGACACTGGGTTTGAAGAAGTACATGCATGACTTGGAGACTAGCTACATTGTATATACTGTATATATATGTAGCTGACTTTAAAAATATAAGAAATGCCTTTTTTTAATACTCTGAGTAGGGCGCTTTGCCTTGTAGACCTGCAAAGTTTGTCATTTACATCTTTTTCTAAAATTCTTAATATGTAAATATTGTATGAAGCTAATCTCTTATCATACAATAAGAGCTTTTTGTGGTGAAGCAATCTGTCTAGGATGGTTTTCAAATTAGTTTATATGATTAATATCAATTCCCTATCAGACCAATTCCCACTGAGACCTATTTACATCATGAATGTTTCCAAAACAGCAACAGAGCTACTTCAAACCTCAACTCATAGGATAATATGTCTGTGAAATATCTGGAATGCTTATTGCTATATCTTTTTGTAGGTTTACACTTGAAATAATATTATAACTTATAATATTATGTATTTTTTCCCTTAGTGTGAGCTTATACTCACTGGAGTAGTAATTAAAGATAGCTTAAAGACTTTGGTTGTGTTACAAACTTTGGATTCACCTCGATCACAACTTTAGATCGTTTACAGATTTCTGTATTTCCTGGAAGACCCAGTTACATCCCAACACTTCCAAGAAGTATTTGGCCTTTCGTTCGCTTATTGGTCAGTCCAGATAAATCGAGAGTAGTGTCAATCTCATTGAGAAAAAAATCATCTTCAACGATTGAAAAAAAGACGAGACATCAATCAATTCCTTCTTGAAGACTAATCTCTTTTCCTGATTTCGTCTAGACGTTTAATTTAGTTTTTCGCTATTGCTTCTGGGAAGAATCAGTTATGAATAAAACGCCGTTCAATACCACATCCACACATTTCTTTTCGGTGCCGTTTTCAAACGAGTTGGTCGTCCAGAAAACACCTCGATTTCTTTCTGAGTTGTGTGAAAGGGGACAGCGAAGTAGAGGTACAGACATTCGTAACTGATTTAGAGAGGTATTGGAGAAGGGAACGTATAGTAGCAAATTAGTTCAAATCAAAGAATCCTTCCAACATCTTTCGGAGTAGCTGTTGACTTGTGCATCGTGCGTAGTTCAGTTGTTAGCGACCCTGCCTCTTGACAAAGTTGTCGTATGTTCGAATCCCGGCAGTTGTCCCTCACCCTGCTTGCATGCTTCTGAAAATGGTCGCAGTTCTTAGGATTGTCCAGCGCTCGATAGATGGGCAATTGTTCCACAGAAATCTGCGCCCCCTCAAAATTTCCTGCCGCCTCCTATGAAAAAAAATAATAAACTCGCCCAAACACACGTCGGCAAAACGCCAAATCCAAACCACTTCTAGAAAAGTGCAACTGAGACTTGAGACTTCAGGCCAGGAGATGATATAGAGGAGGAATAAACATATCTCCTTAAAAATGTGTCTATGAATGTACAATTCCCCATGCTGCCCCCCTCCGAAGGAGTTGAAGTGGACTTGCCCAATTGTAGACGTGTGCGGATGTGTGAGACCATGCATGTATGATGAACCAGGTTCATTTTCACACCCACACTTTTATTACCTCCATAAAACATGGTAGATATCAATGTATTAAACATTTTTATTACCTTAAAATCACTATACCGCAATGGTCACAAGACTTGAGGAAAAATCTGCTAAAGGTGTTAAATGTAAGATTGTGTAGAGAAATGGTGTCGCAATGAAAAGCAAGTAATATATGTCAAAGAATGTAGAATTTCCTGTCCTGCCACTCCCCTGGGAGGTGGTTAAGTGGACTTGCGCAACTGTTTTGTCTTTATACGTGGGTGTAGAAGTGGGAGCTGGTAGACTATGCATATATGATGAACCAGGTTCATTTTCACACCCACGTACTTCTCATCAACGGAGGTGGCAATACTGTATACAGAACTGTGCTTTATCCATTCATGCACTCGTACCACTGAGGTGCATCCCACCCTATACCTGGGCCTGCAGGAAAGCCGCTTACAGAAGCATAACCGTAAGTACAAAATTCTTCCTCTTTTTCACATCTCCATATGAATTTCCATATTAATTACTGTACAAATCACCATAGCTAGGCCTATATGAAAAAGTTGTGTTTCAGATTTACCGAATTACGCGTCACTATATTTTTTTTATCTAAGAAAGAATAGCAAATTTATGACTGAACAACGTCAAGTTAGTCCCAGAAACATGTAACAAATCAGTGTGCGATGTACCGCTAAGAAAATCGTCAAGAAGCGGAGAAACAATCATATGTCCGCTGCAGCCCCGGCTGAGACATAAATAAAATATATTTCAAATCTTAGCTTTGATTAGCACGTTGGCAAAACGTACGGCACCTGCGCGAAACACATTTCTTCATGGTTTTCGCACCAGAATTTTGTCTGTGGGAGATAGTATCTTAACCGACACAACATGTGAAAACTATGGACCTGTATCTTGACGGGGGGCGACCATTATTGAGACGTTTCACCGATTCTATGCACAACACATGACGGTGTCGCTCATGCGCAGTACTTTCTTCCCACAAATTGGTTTGATATATGCATTGTCTGGTATCAGAAGATGACACCTGGGCTGCTCCAACTACATAGAAATTGATGACTTTGTCTGCCAATGACGTTAAGAAACGTCACGTTTTTCCCATTCAGTGTATATAGAAATATAGCATTCACTCTAAACATTAGTTAAACTGTGCTAGCTCAGATCTGATAACCAAATAATTGATCGTATTAAGCAAATACGAATCATCATTGTTGTTGTATATCAATGTGGTGCATCAAGGTGTGCCGTCATTGTCCTCCGTATGTGTTGTCTTCTTCGTTACTTTCTCCACAACCTAGCAAACTCATTTCGTCATGACCTGTTCGTTTAAATTCCATGTCTGATAGCGTTAATTGTTTGCACTTAGAGGTCCACCTTTGAAATTCCATAACTACCAAATGCAATTCAATAATGATACTGCTTACACGAACAGTTAGATTGAGGAATTGATAATTCAGTTTGTGTGGGTGTGAGTAGGGGGTATATGGTGCTGTTAGAATACGAATATCCATTTGGCAGGATGTAGCGTAATAATGCTGATACTTTCAGGGAAACGATATTAAAATGGACGCCAGGGATTCAAATCCGATGTACACACATGACGATATCAACCTTCATCCGGTGGATGCCAAAAACAATGCAAAACCCAACCCGATGTACCTGCAAAGCACCATAGAGCCAAATGTCAAACCTGGACCAACCATGGATCCAAATCCGATGTACCTGCAAAGCACCATTGGGCCAAATGTCAAACCTGGACCAACCATGGATCCAAATCCGATGTACTCACATAACACCATCAATCCATATCCGATGGACACCAGAAACGACGTTAGCCCCAGTCCGATGTACCTGGAAACCCCCATGGAACCTCCCAACGCCAGCCCTGAGTCCACCATCAGGTCAGATGAGAATGATGACATTCCCTGTACCCAGGCATCAGCTGATGCACATCGACGAGGTGATGGAGCAAAACTTCAGCCCAGCTAACAACGAATGACAATCATTGCCTTC